AGCAATGAAGATAAGGAGAACTTAAAACTATGTCATTCAAAAAATAAAAATGTTTACACTGGTGATAAGATGTAGGGGAAATAACAGCAACTGTAAAGAATTTGAAAATCCATCATGTGTAATAGGAATTAGACTCATTCTATATGGCTCCACACTATAAAAACAGCATCAATAAAGTAGACATTATAGGGTAGCATATTGTGACAAACTTTTAAAATAACTACCCCAAAGATTTAATTTGCAAAATTAGCATTTTTGCAGTAGTATTTAAGAGTACAGGTAAGAAATGTGAGTTTTAAAAAACAAAAGAAAACAAAAACCTGCCTGGTACTCAGAACTGCCCAGGGGCAGGATAAAATGCCTCAAGTTCTCTCTCACTGAAAGTGTTCAGATTGGCTATCTGACCAATTGATGGAATATTATAGAGGAGATTCAGGCATCTGAGATATTTGGACCAAATTATCTCTCCAATTCCTTCTAATCTTTGGATGCTTTGTTTACAACTTAATTTATATCTAATGAAAACAAAATTGTATTCCTCCCCAAGGGGAGGATCTGGGAACAAGAAAAACTACCTTGGATTTCCGAAGTTTATGCGAGCCTTAGGATTTTTTCTTCTCTGCTCTCACCAAAACTATAGAAAAGTCCTTGCTTTACATATAAATTATTTATATATAAACATACAGTATATGACTGCCAGGAAGGCCCACAAACAATAGGAGCATTTCTTTTTTACTTTAGCCACAGCAGGAATGGTTAGCCAGGCTATTCAATATGACAACTGAGAAAAGCACAAAGAAGGTAAGTCAAATAGACTTTAAAAAAAAAAAAAAAAAAAGCAGTATTGAAACACAAGAGACTTCACTTTTAATGGTACAATAACCAAAAACACGATTTAAGGAATACAGAAACTGGCTGTTTCTAGTGTGAATACACAAAGATCAACAGGCTGAAATACAATTTATTTCCTATGTTAAACCAAGTTTGTTTTTATCAGATTAACAGGGGTTTCTATGGAAATATGTAAAACAACACTTGGTTCATTTCTTCTTCTCCTATAACTAAAGTATGAGTTCCAATTTGTGATGGTACTGGGAGTCCAGTGAGAGAAGTGCATCCTAGAATTCAACTAAAATAATATTACAAATACAGAATCTGGGGTACCACTGATGGCCCTACTTGTCAATATAGTGCAGAGAAGGAATGCAAAATAGGCAAAAAACAAGACAGCAACTCCTTTGTCCCTATGGCACAATTTACCTACTTCTGAGCCTACTTTCTCACACATTATAGGCATTTCTACTTTAAAATAATATTTACTTTTAAAAACAATATTTACTTTTCCAAAATATAAAAACACTGCCTTGGAGATACATACCTAGAAGCTGTTTCTGGAGCACTTCTAGTACCAGTCTGATCTTTGTAAAAACTTCAGATGGTGATGGATATTCCAAGTTAGTCATTATAGATTCAAAACGAATAACTATGTTAGGCTGGCTTTCTATCACAGCGTGAAGGGATGGACAAGATGCCAGAGGCCTAAGGATATACTTCAGCAGCATCTGACCTGAAAAATCATATGAACATTCACCAAAAAATCACTGTAAGACACTTCTAGGCCAGGCACGGTGGCTCACATCTGTAATCCCAGCACTTTGGCAGGCCGAGGCAGGTGGATCATCTGAGGCCAGGAGTTCAATACCAGCCTGGCCAACATGGTGAGATCCCATCTCTACTAAAAATACAAAAATTAGCTGGGCATGGTGGCAGGCACCTGTAATCCCAGCTACTTGGGAGGCTGAGGCAGGACAATTGCCTGAACCCAGGAGGTAGAGGTTGCAGTAAGC